AACTTCCTCTCCCTTGTCCACTGACCTGCAGGGGCACCTAGGGATGGGGGCTGTAGGAGGAGCGGAGGGTGGCCTCTGGGGATGAATCCAAATGGCCTAGGCAAGGACTCACAAGGAATAAATCCAGTCTGGCACCCAGAAAGAATGCACAGCTATGTAACATTTACTGTTGCCTCTTGAGAAAACACATAATGAGGAATTGCATCCATAATGCAGCAAAACTTCTTAAAACCCTTTGTCCCCCAACTTTGCTCTCATCTCCCCCACCAGTCTGTTCCTCCCCTCCCCAACACCTCCTCCCCAAGGCTGAAAATTGCTCTCCCCCCCCCCCAACCCACCCCCACTTCAGGGTCTCCCTGCCTGCTTCCCTCTTCTCTTCTGGACTGCCTCTGCCACTCGCAGAGTCTCTGTGCCTGTCCACCCAGACAGGCCTGCTAGCAGCCTTGTTCCTGGTCCCCATTACCACAGGCAGCAAAATGCAGGCCCAGGAACAGGTACCCTTCCAAGGAGGGGAAGCAACTGGGACTCTTCCTAATCCCCAAGCTGTCTCCAAGGCAAATGAGCTGAGTGAGAGGCCCAGGCTCAGGCAGAGCTGCAGGAATTGGGGACTGAGGGGAAGCAGTGACAAGGGCACCCAGGCTTGATGGTGTCCCCTCCAGGCAGGCACCCACCCAGAGTGGGGGTGGGGTGGGTTTGCACTGAGCTAAGGCACAGCCCCTACCCTTGGTGCTGACTCACGCAGCTCTCAGGCTCTCAGACTACATGTTACCATAACGGTGGGGGGTCTTAGGAAACAGGCGCCCTGGGCCCTACACCAGGGATCTGATTTAATTGGTTTGGGGCAAGCCCAAGGCCTCCAGGGCACTGGCTAGTTTAAAAGCTCCCCAAGTGATTCAAATGCGCAGCCAGGGGTGAGATCCATTAGGCTAATCAATAGTTCTAGCAAACACCCCAGAGTCTGGGGCTCCAAGTCACAGCCTGGGGCACAGCCCCCTCCCCCTCTAGCTGCCTTCACCTTCCAGGAGGAAGAAGAGGCGGGCCTAGGCTGGCCGGCACAGACTGATGTAAGATAAGAGCTGGAGCCTCATTCACTCATCACCGAGTCACATATCCAATGACTTGAATACAAGTGCTGTGAAAAACATGATGGCAACTAACTGAGGGATCCAGTTACTGGGCAGCCAGCCTTTCTGAGGAGGGGACATTTAAATGGAGACCCGAGTGGTCAAGAGAAGCCTGCGGTGTGAAGCCACCATGACAGGTGGAGAGAACAGCAGGTGCACAGCCTGGGGGCAGGGGGTTGGGGAGCAAGGGGCAGGCGGCTGGAGAGAACCGATGGGAAGACACCCGTGGGTGAAGTCTGCGAGTGGGCAGGGGGCGCACGTGAAGGGTCCTGGGACTGTGGGAAGAAGGGCTGTCCTTCTCCGTTCCATAGGAAGCCCCTGGAAGCTTTTCAAGAGGGAATGACATGACCTGGCTGGTGTTTATAAGAGCCACTCTGGCTGCGATGGGGAGGCTGGCTTGTAGGGAGCAGGAGGGAGCAGGTGACAGCTCACCCAGCAGGGCAGTGGGCGCCCCGTGCTCCCCTCCAGGGAGAGGCCGAGTAAATGTGCCCAGTGCCTCGAGGTGGGAATGTAGGTCAGGCAGCCTGGCTCCCTCCCTCCACGCCGCCAGTGCGGCCCCCTCGCCTGTCAGAGAGACAGCCGGCACTGAGATGTGTGGGCTCCACTGAGAGATCAGTGTTGGCGGGGAAGGCAGAGATGATCGTCTTCCAGGTGCCAGGATGTGGGCCACCGCCCGAGGTCTCCGTGTCTCCCTTCCCAGGGTGCCTCTCCCCCTGCCCCTCCACCCCGTCAGGACCCCCCTGGCTGCCCAGCCCAGGCCCAGGCAGCTGTCGCCTGGAGCAGGCAGCTGTATTTGAAGATCAGGGCTCAGACCTCTAAATAAACCATCAACACAGCCGGCTTCCCCGGCTCAGGAGGAGGGAGGCAGCTCCATTTCTCCTCAGCGCGGTGCCTGGGAAATAAACGAGTGTCTCTGCCTGTCACATGCACTTCACCCTCTGCAAAGGCATCTGTCAGGCCCCAGCAGCATCTGCCTCAGCCTTCCCAGGAAATCACGGCTGTGCCCCAAACTCAGGCTTCTCCCTTGGCCGCCAAGTCCACCATCCTGTTCAAGGAAAGGTAGGCATGGGGGCTTGTCCTTGACCTCAAGAAAAGCACACAAACAGCAGGCATGAGCACTGGTACCTGCATGGCTGGGGCATGTTGGCACAGCTCTGTTGGCTGTTGAAGGGGAGGAGGGGGGAGGGGGGAGGAGGGAGGAGCTGAGAGGGGCTCAGTGTGACCCTAGTAGAAGGGGGAGAGCCCAGGGCCCTGGGAGCAGCCCTGGCGGTCTGCGGATGGATGGCCGTGAGGGTGGGAGGGACAAGGAGAAGGAGAGGGCAGAGAGGGCTTCTCCACGGGCCAAACCTCCCACAAGAAGGAAGGAGCAAGAACAAAACCAGACAGGGACAGAAGGGGGCCGGCAGGGAAATAAAGCAGGAGAGGGAGGGCAGCCCCACAATCATCAAACCCAAGGCTTTTGGAGGTTAGGAACCCTCCAGATGCAGCAGGAAAGGTGATTTATGCACTGTGCCAGGGCAGGAGAAGTCTGAGCGAGGCCAGGGCTGGGAGAGGCTGGGAATGGTGGCCCTGCAGCAGAAGCCACTGACAGGTGGTGTGAAGCAGACAGGGTGTGAGCCTTGGGGTGGCAGGAGCCAGGCAGGGAGAGGACGGCGAAGGGCTGGAGTGAGTCGCTGGGCCCAGGGAGCCGGCCCCACAGGTGCTCTGCACAGGGAGACCTCACAGCCAACACCGCCCTGAGGTGTGGTAGGGGTTGAAAAGTAGGGAGAGAGGCAGCAGCACAGGATTACACGTGTATTCACGAGTGTGTGCGCACACACACACACACACACACACACACACACACACACACCAGCAGCAGCAGCAGCAGCAGCAAGGGCTGGCATACTCTCAGCTGCACTCCCATGGGGATAAAAGAGACCAGGGGCCGCCTGACCCCAGGAAAAGCACACAGAGGGCAGGTGCAGACACTGGGCCCCAACCAGGTGTGGGAGAGCCACAGATTTAAGATGATAGACCTTGCAGACCTCGGTAGGGAATGAGACCAACATACTCCCCACACAGACCTTGAATAAAACAGAGAAGACAATGACAACAAATACTGGCATCTCTTCTCTCTCTCTCTCTCTCTTTCACACACACACACACACACACACACACACACACACACACACCTCTCTAAAAGCACTAGACACAAACGTGTGGCCCTCACCACCCTATCCTCCCCTCCCACGTGCACTTGCAGGGACCACACACCTGCACACAGTCACACACACCCAGAGGCAGGTGGCGGGGCAGGGACAGCTTTCCTCTGAGTGAAGCCAGGCTTCCCCAGGGAGCCCCACATGAAGCCAGGCCGATGGCCCCAGGCCCCCCGAGGATCCGCTCATCACTCGAGCTGCACAGAGCATTGGACTAGTTACCACGGCATTGGCAGGGCCACGTCAGAAAGGATGTGCTTCCCATTGTGGCTCTGGTGGCTGCCCTGTGAGTCCAGAGCCACACCACTTCTGACCAAGACCTGGGGTGGGGCCCCCCAGCTCTCTGCTAGGCTCACAGGATGTGCTTGTCCTTGCAAGTAAGGATCATGCAGAAGGACTGAGAAACACAGGGGAGAAGGCTGTGGGCCCATTTCTGAGCGTAGGCCCACCTGAAGGAGCCCACGAAGGAGGTCAGAGCTCAGATCTGGGCCACAATCTCCTGGGGAATGGGGACCCAGTACTGAAGGACACTGCACTGGACTCACACCCCACAATCCCCGCTGTGTCAGCGTGCACACCCTGTCATTGTCCGCTGAATGCTACACTGCATACAGCACACTGTACACACAGATCTCAGTCTCCCGTGTGTACATGCACTGCACACATCTCCCCACCCCTCAGAGGTCCCATTCTTATCAAGGCTGCACACACACACTGAAAGGTCCTACTGTCCTCAGGCCACACACACACTGAAAGGTCCTACTGTCCTCAGGCCACACACACACTGAAAGGTCCTACTGTCCTCAGGCCACACACACACTGAAAGGCCCTACTGTCCTCAGGCCACACACACACTGAAAGGTCCTACTGTCCTCAGACCACACACACACTGAAAGGCCCTACTGTCCTCAGGCCACACACACACTGAAAGGCCCTACTGTCCTCAGGCCACACACACACTGAAAGGCCCTACTGTTCTCAGACCACACACACACACTGAAAGGCCCTACTGTCCTCAGACCACACACACAGTGAAAGGTCCTACTGTCCTCAGGCCACACACACACTGAAAGGTCCTATTGTCCTCAGGCCACACACACACTGAAAGGTCCTACTGTCCTCAGGCCACACACACACTGAAAGGCCCTACTGTCCTCAGGCCACACACACACTGAAAGGTCCTACTGTCCTCAGACCACACACACACACACACACACACTGAAAGGTCCTACTGTCCTCAGACCACACACACACACACACACACACACACACACACACACACAGCTCTGTGCATTCCTTGAAAGCCCACACAGCACACGAGCCTGTGCACACACAGTGCCCACACAGAACTCCCACACAGAACTCGGTGCCTCTCGCCCACGCGGAAGGGGCCTGTGCTCCCGCCCTGGCAAGCTCAGCTGGGCTCGACCTCAAGCTTCCCTGCCCCCTCTTCTGCCCTCCCGCTGCCTGCCCCAACACCCCTCAACCCCTCAGCTTCAGGAAACTTTTCATCAGGTCCCTAAAGGGGGAACCCCACGGTTCCTCCAGTTCCTGCCCTTCCCGCTCCCGTCTGAGACCCCGTGGGGAAAGGTCACCACAGGCAGAACCCTGCTTGAGCTCTGGGAGGACAGAGGACGGACGGAGGACCAGAAGATGGGTGAGGGCATGGGGAAGGTGTCGGCCCTGAGTGGAGCCGGGGGCGCCAAGGGGTGGCCATGACGTGCGGGTGGAGAGCAGAGAAGCTGTGGCTGCGGCGGCATCTTCGGAGCACCGGGCGGTGGCCGCGCCTGGCACTGGGCGCGCGGAGCTGTCCGTTCAGCACCACCGCGAGGGCGCGGGCTCCGCTCCCGCTCCCGCTCCGGCTCCCGCCGGCGCCTGCGGCGCGGCTGTTGTTTCTGTTGGGGGACGAAGGGCGCTGAGATCGAGAGAGGTGGCTCTCCGAGCGTCGGGGCCAGCAGCCACCTGTGAGCCTCCCGCAACTGCAGGCGGCGGCGACATCCCCGGCCGGAGACAGGAGGAGACGCTCCGCGGACCCCGCCCGCCTGCCCGCCAGGCGCATACACAGGCGCACACACACTCGCATCCGCGCGCACACGCACAGCCAGCCCGCAGCGGCAGCCGCAGCGATGCTCGCCAGCAGGTTGGGGAAGTTTCCCGCCGGCCCTGGCCACGGGCCCCAGTGCTCGCAGGTAAGCGCTTCCAGAACGCTCAGGGCGAGCCCTGGCCGCTCTGCTGGGTAAGGCGCGGCGCGCGGCGCACGCGGCTCGGGGGCACCGCGCCCGGCGGGCAGGGAGGCTCGGGGCCGGGGGCGAGGTGACTCCAGTCGTGGGGGCTGGACACAGGGGATGCCAGGCCGGGCCCTTACCCCCAGTCGGCGTTTACAGACTCGCGCAGTGAATTTCCTCGCCTCCCTCCTGAAGCTACGCGCCCCCATCTCGGCCCAGCCCTGCCCGTACGCATCCCAGCTCCGGTCCCGCCTGTCTGCGGCGAGCGGGCGGGGACTTCTCCTCGGCCCGCCCACGGGCAAGGTCAGCTTGCAGCCCCCTTTTCTCGTAGAGCCGCGGGGGCGCGACTCCTGCAGGAGTAGAGGGACCGACAGGACCCCCTGGATGGGGGTGGAGGCGCGGCCATGCTAGTGGAAACGTACCCCGCCTCCAGCCTTTCCTTGGGAGGGGGCCAAGCCACACAGACCCACTCCTCCCATCCCCGTGCCCTTCAGCACCCAGACACCCACCTGGAGAGGACTGGGCCCGCCAGAGATGGGTGGGAAAGAAGAGAGGGGCGCCCAGACCCTGCGCACCCCGCGCTCATCTGATGCGGCTCCCTCCGCTTCCAGGTGTAGCGCCCGGGCTAGGTGCCGGAGGCTGGGCGTCTCCAACATGACCCGCCGGAGCCTGTGGGACGTGTCGGAGGCCAACGTCGAGGACGGAGACATCCGCATCAACGTCGGGGGCTTCAAAAGGCGGCTGCGCTCGCACACGCTGCTGCGCTTCCCGGAGACCCGCCTGGGCCGCCTGCTGCTCTGCCACTCGCGCGAGGCCATCCTCGAGCTCTGCGACGACTACGACGACGTCCAGCGCGAGTTCTACTTCGACCGCAACCCCGAGCTCTTCCCCTACGTGCTGCACTTCTACCACACGGGCCGGCTGCATGTCATGGCCGAGCTGTGCGTCTTCTCCTTCAGCCAGGAGATCGAGTACTGGGGCATCAACGAGTTCTTCATCGACTCCTGCTGCAGCTACAGCTACCACGGCCGCAAAGTGGAGCCCGCGCAGGAGAAGTGGGAGGAACAGAGCGACCAGGAGAGCACCTCCTCATCCTTCGACGAGATCCTGGCCTTCTACAACGACGCCTCCAAGTTCGAGGGGCAGCCCCTGGGCAGCTTCCGGCGGCGGCTGTGGCTGGCGCTGGACAACCCCGGCTACTCGGTGCTGAGCCGGGTCTTCAGCATCCTGTCCATCCTGGTGGTGTTGGGGTCCATCATCACCATGTGCCTCAACAGCCTGCCGGACTTCCAGATCCCCAACAGTCAGGGCAACCCTGGCGAGGACCCGCGGTTCGAAATCGTGGAGCACTTCGGCATCGCCTGGTTCACGTTTGAGCTGCTGGCCAGGTTCGCCGTGGCCCCTGACTTCCTCAAGTTTTTCAAGAACGCCCTCAACCTTATCGACCTCATGTCCATCGTCCCCTTTTACATCACTCTGGTGGTGAACCTGGTGGTGGAGAGCACGCCTACCTTGGCCAACTTGGGCAGAGTGGCACAGGTCCTGAGGTTGATGCGGATTTTCCGCATCTTAAAGCTGGCCAGGCACTCCACTGGCCTCCGCTCCCTGGGGGCCACCCTCAAGTACAGCTACAAAGAAGTCGGGCTGCTTTTGCTCTACCTCTCCGTGGGGATTTCCATTTTCTCCGTGGTGGCCTACACCATTGAAAAGGAGGAGAATGAGGGCCTGGCCACCATCCCCGCCTGCTGGTGGTGGGCCACTGTCAGTATGACCACCGTAGGGTATGGGGACGTGGTCCCGGGAACCACAGCAGGGAAGCTGACTGCCTCTGCCTGCATCCTGGCGGGTATCCTAGTGGTGGTACTGCCCATCACCTTGATCTTCAACAAGTTCTCCCACTTTTATCGGCGCCAAAAGCAGCTTGAGAGTGCTATGCGCAGCTGTGACTTTGGAGATGGGATGAAGGAGGTCCCTTCTGTCAATTTAAGGGACTACTATGCCCATAAAGTTAAATCCCTCATGGCGAGCCTGACAAACATGAGCAGGAGCTCGCCAAGCGAATTAAGTTTAAACGATTCCCTACAGTAGCAGGGAGGACTTGTCCTCAAACCCACGTTGTTGAGCTGCCTCTCGGGCCTCTGGCACAGTCCAGGCACCTTGGGGTTGTGGCATAGGGAGTATGGCCAGCCCCAGAGGGGAGAGATGCATGGGCATTGCATCCAGGTTGCTTCTACAGTAGTTAGAATTGTTTTTAGAGGGTGGTGTGCCTGGCACCATGCCATTGCGCCTTTCAGTGAAATGACACTCACTGGTGTTGGCATCACAGGCATAACATGTTCGCCTTTCTGCTGGACGAATACCCCCCAGAATGCTAACTTTTCTGTTCACCGTGTTCTCGAGTGCTCGTGGTCCAGTACTGTCTGTGAGGTTTCTGTGCTCTTTTTCTAAGGTTGTCATGTGAGATCTGTGCAAAAAGCCCCTACATGTCTGTCCAGTGGAAATACATCTATGGGGTCAGCAAGGATATGACGGGATTTTGCTCACGTCACATGAAAACAAAATCTCAGTTTTTTTTATTCATTGCTTTCAAAACAAAGAGAATGTGAAGTTAAGCACATGCCCAATGCAAGTCTGTGAGTTGTGTTATGAATGATCGTAGCTCTGGGACTTGCATGGGTACCTGGTCACCTTTAGAACACTGTGCATTGATGTTCATCTCTTAAATGTTGCTCTTTAGAGAATGTTACTCCGTTAAACATGTAGTGAAGATAGAAATTTTTTCCCTAGAACAGCTGCTTTAGGGACAGGGGCTTCAACTAAACATAGGCCAGATTGTAGGATGCTTGCAGACTTTTCAAAGGCGGGCCTCTGTCTTTCCTAGGGTGACCGTGCAGGCATTTATTTCTGGCTGAGGTTCCTGGTCTAGCCCATTTGACCAAACTTTGCTGTGTCTTAGATATTAGCATGTTTTTGAAATATTTATTTTTTAAAATGTTTAGAAATAAGGTCGAATTGTCTTTTTCCACTAAAAAGAGGTTTACCGTTGTGTTGTTTCCCTGAGGAACATTGTTGGGTTGCTAGCAAGGCCAGTAGTTTAGAAATCTTGTTGTCTGTTCTGCAAGCTTGTAAAATGAGGGCCCTTTTATTTCCAAGCAGAGTTTACTTAGGTAATTTTGCTTCTAGGATATAGTATGCTACATGCAATGCTGTAATTTCCTTGTTATGACATGGAAATCTGGTGGCATGGAAGTGTGTACTCAAAATACAGAAATGCATGAAAGCTGTGTTGCTTACCCAGGATGGAAATACTACAATTCCTATTTCCATTTCAACTGCCTTTTGTTGGAGGAGGGTGAGTAGAGGACAGAAAAAAGAAAGCTGTAAAACAAAACATTGCTACTCTCGTAAACAATTGTAAATGTCTTGAAAAGCGCAATGCTATTTAAAAGGCCTTTAAACTTCTAAATTTGTGTTGAAGGTTGAGAGCTCTTTCCTTCTCCAAAATGCCTTCCCTCTTCCTCTCCTCCTCCTCGTCCTCCTCCTCCTCTTCCTGTTAATTGGCACATAACATTGTGAAGGGGAACCTGGGCCCCTTTGTAAGATAGTTCTCCATTATCTTCTAGGCAGTCAGATGGTTTTACAGTTGGCTTTCATTATGGTTCGGTCTTTGGAAAGGTTGCAACATCCAGGAGTCTAAGCATGGAGTTAGGCACGTGTTTTATCCACGGCTTGGACCTTCCCTGAGCAGATCCATGTTGTGTCTTAGTTGAAAGTAATGAATACCTCATGGGAATGTGGTGAGGATCTTGTCAGAAGGTTTTGTGTACTTGTAGTTGCTATGGATACTACAGTCCAGGTGATTTGTTGGATGAATGCACTAGTCACATGTGCCCTTGAGTCCCCAGTTCAAATCCTTCCATCAGACGAGCTTTGTGGAGGGTGGGGCGGTGACCATGTCCTGGTGCCTGATGGTCTACCATCTCCATCTGTTTCTCAGAAGCAGGAAAGGGTGAGATGACTTAGGGGCAATGGGTCACCCAGTTGGAAGAGCAGGGTTATTTTTCAGAATCTACACATGGAGTATTTGGCTTGGGCTGATGTTTCCAGCACTGGAAGGCAGAGAATTTACAAAATCAGCCTTAGCTGCACTGAAGGAAATTGATGCTACAAACTTGTGAGGACTCTTCAGTTTGCCGAGACGGGTGGTCTCAGGTCACTGAGCATGGTTGCTATGGTCACTGACCATAAAGTTTGTGAAAAGTAGGAGGCAGAGGAGCTCAGTCGCTCTCATGAGTATTTTTCTAAACAGGCGGGCTTTACCACCACAAAAGAGATACCCATCGTGGTCACTCTTTGCAGATGTGAAAGCTTGAATACTTGACTTTTCATTTTGGTAATGACTTGCATTTATCTGGTGCCTTTCATTAGGGGAATCCCAAAGTGCTTTAGAAACTGTCTTTTTAACCTCTTGTACATAGACATACTTGTATAAAATTTTACTTTGCCCATCCTGGAACTTCAGTCACTTCTGAGCATGAGACTGTCCTAATAGCATTGAGTTCTCCAAGTGATGGTTTCAGATAAGAGGGAGAGAGAACAACTCAGCTAGCTTGGACATGAGTTGATTCCCACTAAGGATGGAGACTGAACTGTGAGCCTGGAGTGAATAACCTTCCTCTCCCCTCCGGTACCACCAAGGTGTGAAGGTCCCAGGTGCTCCCCACTGGGCTTTAACGGATCTTGCTAGACAACATCTTACACAGCCATCTTCTGCTCCCCGTAGCTAATCTGGGAGGGTCAGGGTGATTCTCTGCTCTGTTCCTGGAGTTAAGAATATGCCTATGAAATGACGTCATTGGCCACCAGGCTGTCAGACTGACCCACAAACCTCCTTTGGGGCCACAGCAGAGCTTCCGACCATGTATCCCAGCTACTGGCTTGACAGCAGCTTCCCTCCTGACATTTGGAAGTTGTTCTTTTCAATGCTGTTGGGGCGAATGTACACACCAGGCTTTTCTCACAATGTATGTGATGAGCATTTTGAAAGTGCTGTTTGGGAAGTGATACATGTCTTTATTGTGTAGACACATATTCCTTATAGGTCTGTGTTTCTGCCAAACCCCCACATTTCCTGGGTTTGCTACTGAGGAGGGGCATGTTGTAATGCCAAGCCGATTTGTAGCTCCTGGGGTAGTAATTGGTGTTTAATATTTGGATTTGTTATTTCTACTTCTCTTAGTCCCCAAATAATTGAACTACCTGATAATTCTTGCCTCATTTCAGAGAAAATGATCTGTTACGCACTTTGGGATAGCAGTGATCTGTGCGGGCTGTGTGTTATCTCCTTGAAGGCTAACTGGTATTTCTTGTATGTTTTAACAGCATGACTTGTCACAGAGTTGTAATTTAAAAATTGAAAACACTGCCTTTGCCATGTCGGTTTGAACACTCATTAACGTACCACTGTGCACGCACTGACGTGGCCGCTGCTCCGTCGTATCTGATGACTCACTGCAGGCTCCCTGCCTGGACTTGGTGAGGAGGAACACACACTCGGGACTCCGCCTCTGAGTATGCAGATTAAATAGAAAAAAGTGATTTATGCTTCCGTAAGGCACTTCAGTTACATATGGAGTGGCAAACACAAGGACGTTCAACGCAGGGGACTGGCTTCCTGAGAAAGGCTGGGCCTTGTGAGCACTGGTTGGGAAGGAGGAGCTGTTATTCACTCTTTGCAGGCACAGGGAGCTGGGCCCCCATTTTTTGCCAGGATCTAGAGCCACCATGCTGCTTTGTAGAAGGAACGGTCACTTATTCTTAGAGCTTGTGTGAAACGCACCCCCACTGCCTTGCTCAGCACCAGAGAGGGGCCTGCCAGGGACAGCCCCGCCCAGCTGGGTGCCATTCCCCCTGCTGCCCTGGTACCTTCCTGACAGTAATTTGGGTACTGGGTAACTTGAGTGTCCTGGCTGGTTTGGTGTGGGTAATGCTGGCGGATGCACAGAACCAGCCCTCAGCACCTACTTAACCCACTAGCGACTTAGGCTCTGAGCCATTCCAGAGGCCACGGTGAATCTGTGGGAAGATCTCTGGCTAACTGGCTCTACTCTTGCTCAGGCCTTCAGTTCTGTGACCTTAGGATATCACTTGGCCTCTCGGAGCCTTATATCCCATTGCTGCCAAAGGAGAAGCTTGGATGAGCTCATCCTTAAAGCCCCACCCAGTTCACATCTCCATGTAAAACAGAGTTTCTGCATGTCTCTACATCCTCATTACAGCAGCGAGCAGATCCCGAATCCACAATGTATCTGTAAGCAGAGCAGAGGGGCTGCTCACACACAACCTGCTGGCTTGCATGTCTCTCTTCAATAGCCAACTGCATAGACACCAGTTTCAGGGACAACGATAGCAGAGAAAGGCTTGGGCTGGCGCCTGTGCCAGGGGAATAGTTTTAAAACAATCAACGAGTGTCTCCTTTGGGCTTTAGACCATTTACACCTAATCCAAGATCCTGTTATTACATATTATTAGAGAGGAAAGTCACATTGATCCCATTTGGCTGCAGGATGAGCACTTCATCCATTTGTGTTTGTTCCCTTAGTGAGGACTAGAGGGTGCCCACCCCTGTTCCCAAGAGGGTATTGGGCCCCAACCAGGGCCCCATAATGCACAACGTCAGCTGGGTCTTTCCCAAACTTAATTCTCACTGAGGACTGGCATCTGCAGGTGTCTCCTCTGCGTAATCTGCAGAAGGGCATGGTGACCTTTGTTAACCCTGTCCCTGGTCTCACGGAAGCTGAGAAAGGGCAGCATGGGGCCTCTGTGCAGCCCAAGGGGGCACATGAGGTTGCCACCAAGTGGGGTCGAGCGCATCTCCTCCCTCCACCGGGTATACATGGATGTTCAGGGATATTTTGGGCCAGGATGCATCTTAAAAGGAAGAACAAACATCTTGTCCCAAGGGAAGAACTTAAACACTGCACTCACATGGTCATTATCTCCTATTCCTTTTAGGAGGACTTTTGTCTAGCATCTCTACCCAAGGACCTTATCTGGGTGTCATAGCCAGTTGGTCTGAAAATCTGCACGTTTTTCCTCCTTCTGTGACCTCACTTGTCAATATCACCATCTTCCTGGATAAGTTCTCCAAAACAATGACAATGTTTGCAGGTGAC